CACACACACACACACACACACACACACACACACAGACTCAGACATACACAGATGCATATGTAAACACTCATTTCACATATAGCTTTGCACAGATAAACCATCAGGTCCTCCTACCCATTGAGGGATCTTGGCCGTCTGTCCCCCAGGGTTGCTGCCTCTCCCCAAAGCAAGATAACCATTCCAAGGGCCCCTAAACCCTAGCCATCTGGAGCTGAGCTATATTCTGCTAACTTGGCAAGAGAAAAGGGTGCTGTGGAGGGCCCTGTAGTGCAACACCCCCAGCCAGGGGACCCACCTCAGAGTTCTCCACCACCTTCTCTAGGTACGCGTAGTCCTGAAGCTTGACACACAGCCTCTGGTGCTCCAGCCTCAGAGCATTCATCTCCTGCTTGGCCTTGGCCAGCTCCCGCAGGCGCTGCCTTTTCAGTTCTCGCTCTTTGTTGGCTTTTTTCAGGGCTCGGATCCGCTTCTGGTCATTCTCCTGCAATGAGGGAGGCAACAGAAATCAAACAAGCCTCACCCTCTCTCCCTGAGACCCTGGCCTACCTGGGACTGGCGACACCCTAAACCCCCTCTATTTGCTGAACTCAGACCACTGGAAGGGAGGGCAGAGCTTGCCTGGCTGCCCATGTTGGAAAGGAGGCATGAAGGAAGAATTTTGTGAGACTTTGGTTATTTGAAAGGACTTAGTTAAGCTAAGAGACTTCTGTGGCCTGAGGAGGCTGTGAGTGCAGAAATTCAGTTTAAGGGCACGAAGGAGTCTGGTGGGGGCATGCAAGCAGGAAATTCAGATGCTGTGGGAGTTGGTCCCTAGGCTTCAGAGAGTGGGGGCTGGGAAGAGAACACACAGAAAGGAGGGTAGAGGAAGATCTCTTGAAAGACCCCTGAAGAGGTACTTTCGTAGGAGGAGACCCGTACCCAGGAATCAGCGAGACCACGAACTTGGATGCAAACTGCAAGAGGCTTTATTAGCGGCACGGGTACCCGGGGCGGCTTAGCTTCTGTTGGGCCGAGCTCGCCGAGCCAAGGGAGAGGGGTCCTTATATAGCAGAAAGCGCAATACAGAAGCGAGAAGCAGAGATTCTATTGGATAATTCAAATGAGGCGCAGTACAGTGTTATTCCTATTGGTCAATTTAAATGAGGCGCTATATAGGGTTATTCAAATGAGGTGAAGTATAGAGTTATTCAAATGAGGCAAAGTACAGAGTCATTTCTATTGGATGGTTCAAATGAGGCACAGAGCCATTCCAGACCAGCAT